GCGCCACTTATTTCTTCAATATCTCGTCCCTCATCCGCTTCCCTTTCTTTACGCCTTCCTTAGCGGCTGAATTTGATAAATTTAAGTCATACATGCACCGGGAAATTCCTTGAAAATTTCATCATTCAGTCTTCTGGCTTTCCTGGTTCCCGAGTTAGCCACTATCCCGCCAAAAATTTTCATGGGGCCATACGTGAGAACCACGCATGTCGGAAGCTAGAGGTGTTGATCACGCTGGAGGTGATGAGCCTGTAATGAAGGAAGGTAGTAGTATGCCCGATTGTTATGTAATATTGGTTGCAGGGGTGATTTGTTACTGCTAACAAATGATCATACCGATCCGATCCGAGCAGGCGATATAACGGTATTCAAAATTGATGGTCGTGATATACCCATTGTACATCGAGTTATCAAAGTACACGAGAAAAGTAACGAGGAAACGAAGTTTTTGACAAAAGGTGACAACAATCAAGTAAGTATAGCTTCTGAAATTTCAGTGAGAAGGGGGTGGTTGTTCAAAAAAGTGCATATTATCATCGTATTACCGTTGAAAATTTGCATAAAACAACCTGAAGTCTCATTTTCTTAAAATAATGTCATAATTCTCGAAATAACATACTTAAGTTAGTTTTACCGTTTTCCCGCTAGTTTTTGAGTTAGCACAGTACCATGTGCGAACTTTGATGTGACCGTACGCCCTGCAAAAGCATGCGGGACAACTGAACTTGAAATCTTCAGCTCATACAAGCACAGAGAATATCCTTAGTGATCTGTAGTAATTCTTTGACTCATTCGTCTAGTTACGTTGCAGTCCGGCCTGAAAGATACAGATCAAGACACACAGAGGCGTGTAGATCAATTTCAGCTTCGTGACAATTTCCGTTGCTCGTTCTGAATTCTTAGTTTATGCAAAAAACTTAACAGGAAAAGCAGAGGATTGATTTCTGTTTCTCCGCCGCGTATTTTTTTCGGCCACATTTTAGCGGTGTTGCGGGATATCCCCGGAAATTTCATAGTCTTTGTTCTCCATCGATGAAGTTGGCAACTTTTCTAGTTGCTTTGACCAGTGCTGCCGCTTGGCCAGGTGATCTGCTTGCTGGCGACGATCCTGATGTTCATTTGGCCTCATGAAGAGATTACTGGCCTCGTGATTGTCAGAACAGAATTGTTTGGCAAAGCCCTTTAGCCAGCTCGAGATGTCTTTACCTGTGTTTGGCATCAAGTATCCCATCTTATTGACTGTTTTAGTCGTAGTAGTAGAGTAGGAGGATTGGATTTAGGTGTCATGTACAAAAAGACATTTTACGACGCAGCCTGTATGTTTCATTCCTTAGCTGTAAACACAAATCGGACTGGACTGTTTTAGTAGGATTGCTAGGAAATGTGCGCATTTTTATTTCCAGGTTGATGATCGAGGCCTTTATGCACCGGGTCAGTATTGGCTAACACGCAAAGATGTTATTGGTCGAGCGAAAGGTTTTGTGCCGTATGTTGGCATGGTTACCATACTGATGAATGATCATCCCAAGTTGAAATACGCTGTACTGATCGCTTTAGGGGCATTTGTCATTTTGCATAGGGAATAATAGGAGGCAGGGAGAAGGACGACGAGGAAGAAGTCTGGGCGTCTTCTGAAAGCTTTATAGCCGCCATATGTGCTGCGTTATCAGTGACATAATATTTTTACCGCATTGTTTTGTATTTTAGATTTTCAAGGTTTTTGATGGGAGGGGAGGGGTAGTTTACTGGGTGAATTCCGCAAAAATAGCGCTTCCAGCGTATTAGAGATACTAAATCATCGTTTAGGAGGAAGGGACCGGAAAAATTATGCCTTTATGTTGAATGCACCTCCCTACTAACATCGGAGCATCCCAGCCCGGGTGACACGGACACGAAAAATCGACAAACGCAGACTGTACAAGTGCTATAAAAGACCCGGCAGAATCTGCATTTTCATCTCTTTTTTTTTTCTAATAATTGGCTTCCAGTTTCTGCTTTCACGTTCCAGTGATTCTATTTTGTTGGGATATATTCAGTCTTGTTGACGTTGTATGATTATTATCATTTTCATAATTGTTATCACGGGGTTGTAAAACGATTATCATTTTCTGGTTATCAAGAGCTGTAAAACGGCAATTACAAATGTTATCGCGGAGGGGTGCAAAATGCGCGTTGGAGGGAGGTTTTTTTTTAGAATTCATCTGCAGAGGTTGGTTGCTTTTTGCACGCTTTCAAAGCACAATTTGTGGCCTTGCAATCGAGATCCTACAATGAATTCATACATTCCAGGGAAATCCGGCCCTCGGCAAAGCTGCTGCTTTGGGGGACAATCTCTGGCGGCAAAAGCAAGGGGATGGGGAGGCAAAAGTTAAGGGATTTGGGTGATGTAAAGTCCGAAAATTCGATGTAAGTACAGTGGTGGTTTTCGTCGCCGCTCCAAACCACTGCAGATTGGCACCACGCCCAACTGTGATATCAAAACCACGAACACATGTGGTGTCCTGCCTATTACCGCTCAGAAATGGAACAGACAGGTGTTAGTGCGGGTTCACAAATTTCGAATAAAACGAGAAAAAAAACTTCACTTCGCAATAATAATGATAAATCAACGAGATTCACTTCAATAAAAAAAAAAATACTTCGAAAAAAAGCAATAATTATAGCAACATGATAGGATCACTTTGATCAGCTGAAAAAAAGCAATATAAAAGTCGGTTCATACGATCCGCGACTAATTAATTGGGAAAGGGGGGAATCGGCCAAAAAAAGTAGAGAGAATTATAACAATATATAAGACAACAAATACAAAGTCTTCATTTCATATGGGTAATTATTGAAAAACGCATTCTTTTTTTCTTTAAGCTAATCCGCTAAAAACCATGACATTCTTCTCTTGGGTGATGGCCACCCAGCCCAAGCAGTTTCGCCAAACGTATGCAAAAACGTGTACATTTGACCAAATGCTTAAGCAGAGTTAAAAGACCGATTTTTTTGCAAATTTTTTGGATTAGCAACCGTCAATTTCCAAAAAGATAGAAGTCAGTCAGTGAGGGTCAAAGTCCTGTTCCGCCGGTCTTGACCTTGGACGGTGTGCTTTTGGAAATCACTAATATGTAATTTACCAGCTAAGCCAATGCATCCTTCAATCAGCAAATCCATGAATTTGCCAGACATTCAAAGGCCGAGATTGGCTTAATTTACGAATGGGCTACAAGACACTTTGCACCTGTAGTTCCGGGGCGCGGAACTTGTAGACAGTTCCAGTCTTTTAGGATTTCAAGACCCAGTTGCGATGCTCAGCCA